TTTTTTTTTTTTTTTTTTTTTTTTTTTTTTTTTTTTTTTTTTTTTTTTTTTTTTTTTCTATCTTTTTTAATTGTCAAAATGAATCGACGCATATCGAAGGTCAGCCGTGTGCTCGGTACTTTTGTTTTTTAACTTACACGGTAGATTTAGGAAGTCTCGTTTTGGCGTTTGGCAATTCGTACGCTGAAAGTTGTTGTTTTCTTCTTCTTCTTCTTTTTTTTATTAATCTCTCATTTTTTCTGACTATTGGTGAATCATTAATGTAAGAGAGAACGTTTTACGGCGCAAATGAATGTTGAATTTTTCCGTGCTACAAAACATTATTTTAAAAGTAATCAAATAAAAAAAATGATCCCGAAGCAGCTTAAAAGGACTCAATCAGTTACGGATCGGTGAGAACGACGGGACGCAAAAAATTTATTGCCGTTCCCGCGCCCGTGTTGAGACAAATGAATTACAGAACTTATCGGCTCTCTTTGACGTAAGGAGCTGACCGCGGGGCGATAAATTATTCTATAACAAGTTTCTGAACAGCCGGTGTGATTGTTACCCTCCTTATTGCGTTATCGCTGTCGAAATATTGTCCAGGGATTATTGAAAGCTGTGATTTATAACAAATAAAATAAAAATCATGCGTATAATCGATATTAAAATTGTATTGCACTATTGAGCGTAGGAAAAATTTAAAAAAAACATTCCAAGAAAAATAGTACGTTGTACTAAAGAAGAGTATGTTCAATTTTTTTTTTTTCTTTAACCATATTATTAATAAATGTTACTCTCAGCAAAAATAAAGAAAGAACGAATATCACGTTAGTGTTCATTCCAACGCAAAGCAAAGTGAGTAATGACCATGTGAAATCCTGCCAAGATAATATAAATAGTATGAATAATTACGGAAAAAAACGTGCATTTTAAATCAATGAATCTCCAAGTAATTACTATATAGTAAATAAACAATAATCATTAACGCCTTGGAGATTATTTTACAACTATGATCTACATTCGTCTCGGGGGCAAGTGTTGTGTATTTTTTTTCGCAGTTTTTTTTATTTTTTTTTGCAGCTGTGCGTGAAAATGAAACAAACACGTTGCGCCTGTGTAATTGATGAATGAATAAATAAGTGCATTACATAAGCCGTCGGAAAATGCACCACCGCAGGAGGATGTGAAAAAAATATTCCCATCTCTGCTGTGCACGCTTCGGTGCGTGTCTTCGTCATAAAATTTATTGAAACGTCCTCACGAATTGGATTATTATTTAAATAATGATCCCGTGGTCATTGGGAGGACATTGCACTATGCGAATAATCACGCAACGACCAACGCGATTGGAATAATTGTGAATTTATTTATATATTTATTTTTTGCTTTCCACAGGAGGATGGATACAAGACGATGTCTTTCTTTTCTGATTGTGCCGATGAGAGCATCTGTGAAGTCCACAAATTAATTAGCTGCAGCAGAAAATGCCAAGGAATCCTTGAGGCTTTGCGATTAATAAAACGATCGGTATGATTAACATAAGAATTTAGGTATATAGATCCTCCCACTTGAAATGATAAATGTAGTTGCTGCTAATGGATCACTATAAAAAAAAGTAATAATAATTCGCTTCGTCACATTACCTGTAGAACATCTTTTATTCCTAATTAGCTAAAGGTAAAAAAAAAAATTACGGTTTTGAGGAATAGATAACTAAAAAAAAATAATAGTAATCCTTATGTAAACGGATTACGTGACTCATTCAAAATTTATGTTGAATTTTAATTGATGCAAAATGATTAATTGCTAATGATTAGAATTCAATTTTCCTTACAATAGTTAACTGCAGTTCCGTCTTCTTTATACCTCATTTACTTCAAATTGATTATCTTCATTGTAATACTTGGTAATTCAAATTGTAACAGCATCAATGCTATAAAAAATTTATGGTACGTTTACATTTTCTGGAAAAAAAATTGGATGCAATATTAATTTCAAAATAATCATCATTATAAAATGGATCATGAACTCATGAAAAAAAAAAAAAACAGTTATTTACTACGTTTTTTTTTTTTTTTTTTACAATCTCATGTGTGAGTAATTATGATAAAATGAAGAATTAAATTTGTAGCTCATTGTACATTTATTTGTTAACACAATGCATTTTAATTTATAAAACGTTATCCTGCACATTATATGCAATTTTTCTATTTTTATCATAGTTCTTACACTATAAAATAAGAATTTTAAAAATAATTACTAAAGTACGTTTTATCACTTTGCAAAATATACTGCTCAGTAAATATTATTCAATATTCTCTATAACACCATAATTGATATTTAAGATTTTGTTTTATTACATGTCTGTATAGTTTATTTAAACCAAGAAGTTAAAAATTATCGAATCCAAACAGGAAAAAATACGTCATGACACAAGCGTGATTTAAAATATGATTATTTATGTATTAAATCAAATACATATTTTTTAATTCTTTTTTGATGAAGTTTTTTCCGTGTCAGTGACGTTGATGTTTATGTACTTCAGTAAAAAAGCACACTCTTCAAATTCTTACAGATCAACAGAAAAGCTGCTATATTTTTTTTTTAGTTTTTTCAAAAAAATATAAGCTGAGCTAGCTTTGGCCTATACATTGTTTTTTGAAAAGTGCGTATCAAAAATAATTAATTCGACACTCATCAGAGTGTTATAAAAAAATTCCAATTTTAATTCGATGAGTTAGGGCTTCTTTTATTTTTTGCACAGTTTTACACAAGCTTACTGTAAAAAATTTTTCAAACATTGTCTTATTAATTATTGTATTTTTCTAGATAGATTTCCCACAACAACCAAACTTGTGCATGGATTTTTTTAAATACAGTTTTTTCTCAAAGTGTAATATTTTATTTGTGCCAAAAAAATGTCATTAAATTGCTACTTATGATTGTGCGCTGAAAAATTTTTTCTAACAAATATATTGTACAAGGGTTAAAGAAAAAATATAATAATTTGTAAATAAACAGAACCAAAGTATTTCAAAATGTATTAAAATTTTTTAATTAAAACATTTTACTATAAAACGTAATATTAAAAATAAATTTTACTTACCTGCCAGAAAAATCATGACAAAAAAGTCTGACAACAGCCCTGGTAAAACCAAAAGCTAAGTTTGATGAAAACATAAAAATTAAATATACTTAATAAACGACAATATCCAAGTGAAAAAATGTTCTTTTAATCTTCAAACCTACTGCGAATCCTACTTTTGCACTACATCGGTGTTATCAAATCTGAATTGAAAACCAAGACCATCTAAAACCATCAGAACTTCTAAGCCGTGTACAGAATGTCAACACGAGTTATTTGTTTTTATCGAGGAAAAAAAAAAAAAGGAAAATAGTAAGAAAGATTTTATCGTTGATGCACCATACGAGCGCGCAGAGACACACGCGATCGATTACATTATTACTGTATACGCGACAACGAGCAGATATTATATTCACTTGACCGTAATTACGTTCTCGCGCCGGTAAACACCTACTGTTTTAAACTGTTCACACAACGAAAATAACCATGATCATTGGTATACGTCGTGGTTAATCGATTCATACAATGTAATTGAAGGATTTGCTGCGGTGGACGACGAACATTAGGTGTTATACGTCGTTATCGGTTAAGAGATGGATTTCGATAGTCAGTGATTTACTTGGTAATGGTACAGCTGAAATTAATAGAGATTCCAGATAAATAGGATAAATGTCTAGAAATCGGTTTCATAAGGATGAGTAAGTATGGAAAAACGTGTTATTATCATACACATTGCTCATAAAAAATAATTTGCATAATGGATATTTTTAGCAATCACACCTGTAATTCTCCAATCGAAGTTTCTACGACTGATAAATCGTCATACTGGTGCGATCTATTTTTTTTTTTTTTTTTTTTTTTTTTTTGTTCAATTACGCCCGCGACCACACCTCCACCAACTGGTTTTTTATCGCGGCAGTACATTATAAGGAATCAGCGTACGTGTGCGTTTGGATGTGCTTGTTTTTAATGCAACGTTATATACACGATACTCTGCATCATTGGGATAAAGGACTTACGATTGAACAAAGTGATCTTTTTTTACAAGTGGTAAGTTTATCGTAAGTTAATAAAAATTGGAAGATAAATGTCAGCAGGGGTGGGTTATTCAATCTGAATAGCGTCCCTTTGCTAACGAAAGCAGGCAAAAGAGATATGGTTTTCAGAGCATCTGTCACGCATTAGACGTGAGCAATGAATCTTCTGTCGACATCCTCGTCAGATGTTTTTTTTTCAAGATTTACTTGATTCTTCGCCAAAAGTAGTGGGTGACATTTTGTACAATATACGCATCAGCTCTGTCATTCTTGCACGGCAACTATATTTTGCTGACAAAAGAGACACAGGCCATAATTATATCTTTCCTTTAAAATCTCTCGATTACACACCTTGACGTACGTACTTTTTTTTTTTTTTTACAGCAAAATAAGTTTGAAGCATTAATTCCCGCCGTGTGAATTCTTGATTCAACCTGAGCGGAGAAGGATATCCAGGCCATCAATTACGGCTTTCTTTTTACTTCCCCTTGATTCGCGGTCAGCTTGCAAGTCACGCGACTAGCCCATTTCCGTGGCTTTCACGCCCTCACCGCTGGCGTCGGTATATATCGTCGCTGTAGGGCTGGGAGTCGTATATTTATGACCCGGCGTGTGCTGGATGACGAATATAATGGAGAGGGGGGAAAAAAAGCTCTGACGGACGCAACTTTGTCATATATATAAGCAGCTTTGGCGAGGGATAGTTAGCTATTCTTTTCGCACCCCCTTGGGTAACAATGCCTCGAAGCGTTTGCCACTTGCGATATTTATTGTTTTCTTGAATCTCACGCCTAATGGTGATTTATGTTTTTATTTTATTGATGTGTACTCACCAAAAGATCATTGTCACTCAAATAGTCACATTTTCCGCCTACAATAAGGAAAAGTATTTTGGCTACATAAAAATAATCTCTCTCTCTCTCTCGACTTTTTTGATTAATTTTTTCAATTGTCAACAGCGCATATAATATATATATATATGGTCGTTCACAACCACGGCAACGATGACCCCGCTCTTGGAATCTCACCGAATCGCCTCGCATTATCTGTATGAGGAAAAAAAAGCCCACACGTGTCCACGAAAGAGTGCGAAGGGAAAACTTTGGCCGCGTAATCGGGACGAAACGCCCGCTCGTTCCCCAAACAATGACGTAAACTCCAAATTGAGTCAATGCACTCACCGCCAACCCACAGCCAATGATACGGGCTGGAGCTCTCCCTGTGGAATCAGTTGTGGCACACAAGTGCGGCTATGCCGCTTTTTTTTTTTTTTTTTTTTTTTCTCAACCTACTCCTCGCGCTAGTTATACGCGCTCCAATATACATACATCCCAATTAACAATGCAAATATACACGATTGCCTCAATATCACGTTCTGGAGGCCTGTCCCTCGCGCTGTACCAATCGGAAGCTCGACGCGGCTGTTGTGCCTACCATCTTATCGCGAGCATTATAATGTATATATACTCTTACGCGCGAGGAGGCGCTCTTTTATAATGCACTGTCCATGTAGATCCCGTGTATGCTTGTAATAACGAGCTATATGGCGAAGGACACATGTGCATGCACTGATTTTTTTTTTAATTTTTTTATCTAAGTGTACTTTTTTTTTTTTTTTTCGTTCTTGTTTTGATTGTCGAGAGTCGTGTGAAAGATTTATTGCGCGTTTTACGGGTTAGATGTACTTAGTATAAGGAAAGTGTCCGTGGGTTGTTGAATTTATTGCCGGTATCTTGATTTTTAAGAGAAAAATCAATACAGTATAAGACTAGCCGGTTGAGCGAAAAACATAAGTGTGCTAGAGTACAATGTCTGGTCGGATGCGCGAAGTAGCATCGACGAACTAGTAGTAGGAGATGCAATTATCGGACTTGCGGACTAATGTCCTCTTACACCGATTCCCGAGGGAGGATTGACGGAAGTAGAAAATGAAATCTGCATTAGTCGCAACTTAAGTCGCGTCCCTTCGGTATCACGAAGAGATCGAAAGAGTACTCGTTGGAAAAATGATAGTAAGCGGATTTGTAGCTGTAATTGAAGTTTCTGTTTTTTTTTTCCCTTGTCTCACAGTCATTTCTGATTAATCTCGAGGAAAAATTCACAAATTATTTAATTATTTATAACTGTATTAAAAATTTTACTATAGTTATTTACTTCATTGTAATGAATATTAATTTAAATTTACATTGCTATAACAAAAATAAATTTAAATAAAACACAAGTACAACGAATAAGTAGGGAAAATTTAATATTTTAAAATGGCTGCACGTACTTTAATGTTATTTAATGTTTTATGTACTACATAATTAATTGCATAACATTTTTCAATGCCGTTCAAAATTAATAATCTTATTACAAAAAAAAATTACCACTTGGTACATATATCTTGTGGTAGTACAAATTACAAGTGTTTAAATGGGTAAAAAATATAAAAAAATGACATAAATATTACATATTTGCTTAGTATGTAATGAATAATGTGCATGATTTGGGGAAATTGCGGCGAAAATCCCTGCAAGAGACATCTGTGACATTTTGAACGAACCTACAACAATGCACGATAATAAAGATTTCTTTCAGTGTTGCTGATGTTTTGATGCTAAAACTTACTAGTCTCACTACCTCGCGTAGGTAACACTATTGACTGTAGATATTATTAATTATTATTTATAAAGGTCAAAAATAATTTAAAGTTTTTATGCATCGAATTAAAAGTACCTAAAATGTTTCATTGATTAAAATTTTTTAATTAAAACATTTTACTATAAAACGTAATATTAAAAATAAATTTTACTTACCTGCCAGAAAAATCATGACAAAAAAGTCTGACAACAGCCCTGGTAAAACCAAAAGCTAAGTTTGATGAAAACATAAAAATTAAATATACTTAATAAACGACAATATCCAAGTGAAAAAATGTTCTTTTAATCTTCAAACCTACTGCGAATCCTACTTTTGCACTACATCGGTGTTATCAAATCTGAATTGAAAACCAAGACCATCTAAAACCATCAGAACTTCTAAGCCGTGTACAGAATGTCAACACGAGTTATTTGTTTTTATCGAGGAAAAAAAAAAAAAGGAAAATAGTAAGAAAGATTTTATCGTTGATGCACCATACGAGCGCGCAGAGACACACGCGATCGATTACATTATTACTGTATACGCGACAACGAGCAGATATTATATTCACTTGACCGTAATTACGTTCTCGCGCCGGTAAACACCTACTGTTTTAAACTGTTCACACAACGAAAATAACCATGATCATTGGTATACGTCGTGGTTAATCGATTCATACAATGTAATTGAAGGATTTGCTGCGGTGGACGACGAACATTAGGTGTTATACGTCGTTATCGGTTAAGAGATGGATTTCGATAGTCAGTGATTTACTTGGTAATGGTACAGCTGAAATTAATAGAGATTCCAGATAAATAGGATAAATGTCTAGAAATCGGTTTCATAAGGATGAGTAAGTATGGAAAAACGTGTTATTATCATACACATTGCTCATAAAAAATAATTTGCATAATGGATATTTTTAGCAATCACACCTGTAATTCTCCAATCGAAGTNATGTACAAACATCATTAAGAATTCGAGTTTAAAAATATATTTACATTAATTACTAATGCCAGCAATTAAAAATATTTCATCTAAAAATCATCTAGCTAGTCGAAAAAAATTTTTTTTTAAATATAAATCTGAAGATTGTCTCACATATAGATCTTTCAAAGTTATAGAGCACACATTTAGAATAAAAAGAGTACATTTATTAAAAGGCAAAAAATATGAGATGTAAAAGTCATCTCATACCGTTACATTGGTTATTCCTAGTGGTCCTAAGGTAGTTGGTGTGGTTATTTTAATGCACAGTGTGTGGGTAGTAATATGCGCTATGAGCTTTCATTTTTTATCACTATCTGGTAGATCATGAATCCTCTAGAGTTTTGAAAATGTTAGCAAGGAAATACGTGCTACTGCATAGATCCCCAGGCCATGAAGAGGTCATATGTACTTAATTGGCACATCAAACAATTGAAATAGAAAACATTCCAGATTCCAATTAGAAAATAAAGAAAAAAAAAACAAAAAAAAAAAAAAACTAAAAAAACAAACATGATTGATCGACAC